GGAACATTGTCATTTATAAAGGCGCGGTGTTGCCAAAACAGATGTCATACACCAATTAATTGCACTTGTTATTGGGAGTCAGTTTCTAAGTTAACTAATAAATAAATTTGAATTTTAAAGGTGCTAATTTTGTAGCGGATATGCTAATGCGAGCTTCCTGTCCGACCGTCGTAATTACCTATCTGTCCGAGCCAGTGTGAATAATGTCGGGAGAAAACCACATCCTGGTGTTTACTTTGATCGGTAGTGGAGACGTGATCTTTCATATTCCGAAACCGATCAAGTGAGACGCCGCATAGTTTGCGCCAATTATTATGCACAGAACAAAAACGATATATCCTTATCGGCAGCAGTCCAAGCGGATATAAGTTCCTTCGTTTTCACTTTCGAACTGCGTCGATAAAAAGACGTAACCAGTTTTTCATTTGATTAAGAATCCTATTGTTTTTCTTGCAATTAAGATTTTTGGGCAAGTCGCTAGTGTTGTATAGTACGACCAAAAATATAGTGCATTCATTGCTTTGACGTTTTAAGTATTTTACAGTACCTCAACCCCAGACCTTCGCAGGATCGTGGTAAAACATATCCCAACAACGGTCCTGGAATGGTTGGTTAGTTTTGGTTAGTTTGCGGTAATAAAAAGTTAATCACCGGCTCGGTGTAAAATCACTATATTTCTGGTCGAAGTATACTGTAGTATTCACCGAAAATGTGTATAAAATTACCAAGAAAATGGTCTAAAATGTGGGTTGTTAAAAATTGTCAAAAAAAATTTACAAATTACAAACTTGCCCTGTGCTACAGATGAAATAATTGCTGAATAAGTCATCAAGTTTCAAGTATATTTAATGCCATAGAATTGATGTGGACTCAGTGCAAAATGTGTTCTAATAAAAATATTGCAAGTGAGGCAAGGCACGATGATACTACAGGCAAGGCAACTCTGCAGACAGCTACCAAAGAAAATATAATAAAAGAATGTAATAAAGAAATAATAAATATAATAAAAGAATAGTAGGAAAAGGAGAATACACTTGAGATCGTGGCAATACCACTATGCGAAGAATCATTTTCTCAAATGCCGTTTACCGCACTTGTTGCATAATATACTATTATTTTGTAAGAATAAGTTTTTTAAGTTTTATTTTTTAACAACAAATTTTGTTGGGTTTATGTTTTTATTTCTTCCTCAGATATCAAACTGTTGACTGGAACCTTCGGCACTGCACTAACACACAATAACGCGTTTTACCACAAACCGAAACTCAATTTTTACCTACCCGACGCGCGTTTCGCCAACCAAGTTGGCATCTTCAGGAGAAGATTAAAACCAGTAAAATTGAGTTCCGGTTTGTGGTAAAACGCGTTATTATGTGTTTCTCAGATATGTTTTTTTATTTATTTGCCACTCTAACTGTACTGTCTACACCTTTTGTTTTCATTGTTAATAAATTTATAAATGTTTTTATGTTACAACTGACACCTCTTGGGTATCGTTTGTAGCACTTGTCACTGGCGTCTCTGATATTAGGGGCTAATGTCTGGTTCGAAAATAATTATCTTAAATTAAATTTAGACAAGACTCAGAGTATTGTGTTTTCCTCCAATTGCTTGGTAAATAGTGGACAGTCGGTCAAGTTGGTTGGCATTAGGATCGATGATAGTCTAAATTGGAAACAACATATCTCAGACCTGAAAAATAGATTGTCCACCAACATATTCGTTTTTCGACGACTGAGAGGCCTGATAGGAACAAGGGCCCTGTGAAAAAGATGAGCAATAGATAATTTAAACATACTATAAAAAATTCCTACAACGGCATTGTTTTTACTCTCTGTCACTGTCACTGGTATCGGTGCGCTATAAAACTGTATAGTACTGTCTAATTTTGTTTGTATTAGATGTGTGTTTTTATGTTATTTTTTAATGTGATTTTATTACACTTGAATATAACTTCTGACTTGCTAAAATTGTACGTTCCTTTTGTACGAAACGTAGTCAATAAATGAATCTATCTATCTATCTATCTATTATTTTTATAAAGTATCTTTTTGGGTTTCAAAACTTAAAAAACATTGTGCTACTCACAAACCTGTAGCGGATACACTGGAATACAAATAATTGAGATAACATGTAAATATAAGTAGGAGAAGAAGAAGAAGAACTTTTATTAACCACATATTGTACAATAATAATACAATTGCAGACTGTCAATATAAGGTAAAATACAAAAACAAAATTGTAAAAAGTGTAAGGGTGTAAAAAAAACGTATTTTATAAATAACACAGTAGTGAACAATAACAAGTGCAAATGTCAACAATACTAACACGGAGTATAAAAATCGTACAGAAAGCGCTGGATAGTATGCTATGATATTCAAACATTTCAGTAAGTAATTTAGTTTTTTATTTTAATAGAATACTCGTCCACACTATAGAAACAATTTTCAATAAGCAACACTTTAATATTTGTTTTGAACACCTCAAAAGCCATATGCCACACACACACACACCTTCAAATATATTAGTATGTTTGTGAACTTCTAAAAGAGTGTTGTTTTAAATCTGCTTAAAACTGAACCATTGAACTTTTGGGTGCTCGATTAAGAACGATTTACCACAGCGGCGTCGCTGGCCTGAAACCGAAACCGTAAAAACTGAAAATTAGTTGTGCGACACCCAGAATGTAAACCGCAACAACATAAAGAACTTTTTTATGCGGTTGCGGATTTAATTGTTAACTGCCAATTATTTTTTACCGTTATTTTTATAAATTATCAGGTACACTTTTTCCTGCTCGCACGAATTATTAGGCGCACCGAAATCAAAACGAAAACGTAAACTTTATCGGTTTTGTCCGACTAAAAACTCCTCTCACTTTCCCTTTTAGGTGGTATGCCTAACTGTGCGCCGCTAAAAGGATTTAAAATGCAAAGAACTCTCCTGGAGGCTGTAGGTGACCTTGCGGACCAACAACATTGAACTTGTGAAATCTCCTTTCCGCAATCGACAAACGAATCGAATTCACGGGAGATCCAGGGGCGACTCGTGTAAGGGATATTTGCCGGAGAATTTAATAAACTCCTGTGTTTCGGTTTTTCTACACCATTACGGACTTCATTTAAAAAATCATTAAATATGAAGAATATTGGGGAGCAGGCGTTGCTGTGTTTTCCGCTGGTTCAATGACGGTCTCAGAGTCGTGCGAGGCAAATTATCAAGAATTCGTAGTATAGCGAAAACTATGAATAATCCAGACGACTTTTCATCTATAAAAAATACAAAAAAACTGACTAATACAAATTATTTACAGTTATCCAAAAATAAGAAGCAAGATTCTTAGCAACTAATTAAGAGCGAGAGGTGGGGCACAGGTAAATATAATTTTACGAAATATGTATCTCCTGACAAACTTAACATGTTTTTAACTATAGTAGCGCATAAATATTAGAAACTTTGGGTGAAACTCCTGCTAGGGCATCTGAGTTGATGCTTTGAGCATAGCATTTTAACGCTGTGTAACCCTTTGTGCCTTTAAATTTGAATGGAAAAACTGGAAGTTTACGGTTCGGAACCCATTGCACTAGAGGTATTATCCTCTTATCTCCCAAATGGAAAGCAAGCAAGTTTGGCATTTGATTCCCAGCCTGTATCTGTATCTATCGATGATTGACAGTTTCAGTGAGCTATTATGATACCAACAAATTTTAATACATTTTTGCACGTATGCTTAACAAATAAGAATGTTTTTTATTTTAACATGAATCAATTTTGTCGAGCAAAATATTTGTGCAGACAGGATTTTGTACCATGTGTCAAGTGTATCCATGGACCTAGAAAATAGAATAGTAATTTTTGGTGTTCGCAAAAATGATTCATTAATTAAAAATTGATATAGTATTTTTTTATGGTTAAATTAACTTGCATACCGTACTGAATATGTGAGAACTACTTTTTTTCTAATTTTGATTGATTAGTCAACTTTTTACATTGCTGTTCAAGTTGTTGATTGTCAGTAAGCTCGTAAAATTTCTAGGATAACTCGATCAGGGAACAATATATTCCTGATAGGTTGGAATCTACGTAACATAGCTTGAAAGGCAATTCTATAATATAATAATTATTATACAGTTTGTTTATTTATATCTTAGTCTTCCAGCGCATTCGCCAAAGAATGGTTTTCATTATAATCTGATGTATTGATTACGTCCATAGCTATGCCGCGATTAGATAAAGCACTTCAGCTATAGTCCAAACATAAATGCATTTTTAGCTAGCGTCCAATTTATATCGAAATTTTGCAAGATAAAACCTTAAAAGGACATTGCTATTGATAAGCACAAAATGGTTGTTTGGAGTCCATGCATTTACCATCAGGTATTTTGTTAATAAGATGCTATGTGTATCAAGTGAATCAAGAATCTGTCCTTCACCATGCACATCTTATCTGTAATATTTATATATAGTATGTTTGTTTTAATTAAACAAGGCTTATAACTACTGTAAACTGATATTTTTTTTGTATTATCTTACATTTAAAATATTTTATGCAAGAAAACATGCTCGCATGTTTTCTTTTAAAGACCATCTAACTCATTAATAAATGTGCTAAAATTACTATTAACAAGAACTGCTATTCTTACTGAAACTGGGTCGCCTAGTGACGTCACCTGCTGGTACTTGCCTGCCTAAGATAACCTATTGTATTTACGTATCTTGGATATCTCTGTTGGAAGATTTCCATTATTAAAGTAGATTTTTTAGACGGAACAAACTGCAAAATTTGATTCGTTGCTATATGGTTTTTAATTTGTGTTGAAAAATGTTCAATTATTCAAATGCCTCGAGAATATTTAATCAACCAAAATTTGATGTACGTTTTTTAAATAAAAAACAATCACTAATCGGACCGATAGAGACATTAAATAGATGGCGGGAATTAAAAATTAATTGCCAGTTACGCCACACGAATTGTTATTCGTCGACGATATTCTTTTCCCACTTGTATTCACGACACCATAACCGCAGTTAGAATAAAGGCTACAAAGTTGGAATAGACGATAATTTATTTTCTTATTTGAAATGAATAATAATGCTTAATTATAAAACAAAACACTCGAGTCTTATTGAATTGCCGTATAGTTTGTATTAAATCGGCAATCAAATCATTTTGCGATGATTTCGTGCAAGAAATCTGTTTGACATTGGGGATACGGTTCATTTTTACAGAGTTATAAAACTGAAGTAGTCCAGACCAATATATTAGTCGAGAGAGTGTACTGGGAAAAAATGGTGAGTTAAAATTTTGCGTTTAAACATTATATTATACATTTTTAAATATTAGTAACAAAAAAAAAAGTACCGGGCTCGTCCGGGATTTGAACCCGGGACCTCCCGCACCCTAAGCGGAAATCATACCCCTAGACCAACGAGCCATGTTAATAAATTTCGACTCGGCTCTATTTCAGCCAGTCGGGAAATCGAACTTTTACTTTCTGTTCTAGATTTCGGTTGTCCCATTGATGATCTTTCTTTCACTCTCGAAGTTCTCCGCAGGAGAGGTAACGGAAAAAAGCAAATACACGACGAAATACGACAACATCGATATAAACGAGATAATTCACAACGAACGACTTTTAAAACGATACGTTTATTGTTTGCTGGAAACAGGCAGTTGTACTCCAGACGGCCTGGAGTTAAAAAGTAGGTGATAATTTTTAGATACAATGTGTATTTGCCGGAAATTCTTGTATTCCAGAAAATATGCCCGACGCGATAGCCACAAACTGCAGCAAGTGCAGCGAGAAACAAAAGGAAGGTTCCGAAACCATAATACGGTACCTGATCGATAACAAACCCGAATATTGGAGCCAGTTGCAAGACAAGTACGACCCGTCCGGCAGCTACAAGAAGCGATATTTAGAATCTAAAAAGGCCGAAGTTATCGTTGAACCGATCGGCTGAGTCCTGTCCTGGAAATTGTTTAAATTACTAGCTGTAGGTTTTATTTATAAAATATGTGTTTTCTCACATTGACCGAGAAACTGCTAGAAAGAGACGGTGTAATGTAATAATATTGCGATTCAGAAAGGAAAAGGACATTGTTTTAATAATCGACACATTAAGATCGAACACAATGCTTGAAAGTAGGCAACCCACAAAAAGATATTTGTAAAAGCACACTGTATTCACATTTTCATATATAACTATTTAGTTAAAGCTTTGTCGAAACTTATAGAGCTGTCGTCGTCGATCAAGTACTTCCTTCGGAAATTCCCTGCGACGTCGTATTTGTTTAGCAGTACCCCAAAATCTTTTCTTCGTTTCAAGAGAAAATGGGATAAAATCTTGCCGGCTATTTTCTTCTGCGCAGCGGAGCATTTTTCACATTCGGTTGCGATGGCGTCAGAAAGATGGTCTAAAAGCAGAATAAATGCACGTACATGTGAGGGCAACAAGATACAGTATTTAAGAAAGAAAGACGAAAAAAATTAAGTAAATCAAGCAAAAGAAAATGCGGGAATTTTTTTAGGGTTTCCTTAATGGCCACCAGGGGCGTAATTGTCATCTTGAATTTTAAAATTCTAATTATCTAATCTATATATCTACATTTAAATTTCAATAAAAGTTAGTAGTTAAAAAGTACTTTACGTAGGATTTCGATGGTGATATGCGTGACGCGACTTACTAATTGGATTAATTATTGACGTATTAAAGTAGGAACTTGAGAAGTACCGTTTAAAAAATGAAAATAGCTCTGTTTTGACTTCGTATCTAATTATTATTTTTATAAGACATCTTTCCTGTTGTTATTTGATGCTTGTTCAAGTTTCTACCTTCTTAATCAGTTAATTAATCCAGAAATTGAACTGAGGTGGCTTTTACATGATTAAAATGGATTTATCAAAATAAATCAGAACTAAAAGTTCAGATTTTCACATGTTTACATCTCTAAGAAAGGTTTGATAATGGGAAACCCACTTAGTCCTTTGTTAGCCGAGATTTTTATGGATAATTTGGAAAATATCATACTAGAACATCCTTTAAGTAAAAGTTTTCTATGGTGGTATAGACACGTGGATGATGTCTTTGCTTGCTTTGTTGGAACGGACAGACAATTGAATTTGTTTTTGAATTACATCAACTCATTACATAATTGTATAAAATTAATTTTTTAGACAACTATTACGAAAACGCAAAACAAATTAGATTTTTCCATTTCCTTTAAGTAAAAGTTTTCTATGGTGGTATAGATACGTGCTTTGTTGGAACGGACAGACAATTGAATTCTTTTTTAAATTACATTAACTCATTACATAATCGTATAAAATTCACTATCGAAATTGAACAGGATAACTCTATTAATCTTTTAGACTTAACTATTACGAAAACGCAAAACAAATTAGATTTTTCCATTTACCATAAACCTTCACACATGCACACAGTCATACATAACAGCTCAAATCACCCTTATACCAACAAAATGGCTGCATTTCACTCTTTTACACACAGACTCCTTAATACGCCACTCTTAACAGAAAATTACAACAACGAACTTAATATCAATAAACAAATTGCACTGAACAAGGGCTATAATCCGTCCATTATCGAGAACATTATAAATAAAAACTAAATCCAGACAACAGTAAACTCTATTTATCCGAAATCTAATGCAGAACACGAACAATTTAAAACAAATACATATATAGGAGAAGCCAGTGAAAAAGTTTCAAAACATTTGTCAAAATATGGTTTAAAAATAGCTTTCAGAATTAGGAAATAGGAAAATTTTTGAAACAACAATAAAACGAAGTGTCCAAAATCTCAAAACTCAGGTGTCTACAGGTTAAAACGCTAAATTTATATTGGACAAACAGGTAGATCCTTCAAGAAAGGCATTAACGAACATAACATAAACAACACAGAAAAACACATTTTTGACGACAATTTCGATATTTTACATACAGCCACAAAAAGTAGAAAATTAAATTTATTGGAAACCAAGGAGACATTGAACTGTATTGTATTGCTTAACCATCAATTAGATTTAAATACGTCTCCTTTATTGAACTTAAATTCTCACAACATTAGTTAAGGTTTTATGGTTATTTTTCGGTATATGCAGTAGCAGGTAGTTTTGGTTAGTTTTGGTTAGTTACACAAACAAAAAGTAGAAAATTAAATTTAATAGAAGCCATGAAGATTAACAAAATTGTATTGCTTAGCGATCAATTAGATTTAAATACCTCTCCTTATTAAACTTTAATTCTCACAATAACTTTAATTAAGGGTTTATTGTCATTTTACGGTATATATAGTAGCAGGTAGTTTGTAAATATTACGTTGTAAAAATATATAATTTCGTGAAAATCCCAACTTTTAGTTCTTATTTATTTTAATTATTCCAGTGTCTAGAAAAGTACCTATTATTTCAAGACACATTTTACCACTTAAACAATTGAGTAATTAATAGAACTTGGTTCATCTTCAAAATTTGATTATTTTTGGTTAGACGATTGAACCTAATTATTAAATAAAAATAAGTAAACATATTAAATAACTGAAAACGGATAAGCGTGACAAAACGTGGAAATGTCAACTACGTGGTAATTTCATGGTCTAGGAAAGTACTTTTTAAAAATAATAAAGAAAAAAAAATATTTCGATTCGAAATCATTTGGCGTCCTGAATAATAAATTAATGATTTCCTGGGAAAATTTGGAATGGGAAGCATTAATAACAACCCGCAAAGTAGAAATTTTTCCAAAAATCTTCTGAACCTTAAATTCTTTTTTATTCATATTTTAGGTTAGGATAAAAATATTGAGATGCGCGTTTCACTTGTTAAGCCTGGATTCACCATCTAATGACATAAAAAATGCATATCGTTGCCTTTTATGTAAAATTATTTTCCGATCACCATGTTAGTTTCTTTTCCCACTTATCCGATCCACTTCGGATATTTCCGCGATTTTACCGCACGGGTTTGGGAGCAATCGGATGTTTTCGGAAGATTTTTCCGCACGGCTTGAATTTTGACAGTGGTTTTTTGCGGTTTTTATATTAATTTCTTGCCAAGACCAATTGTACCATTTTCAAGTATCCATGTCTCATCAGTGCAAACAAAACAAAATTGAAGGTTAGGACCTGCTTTTTCTTGCTTATACGATTCCTCTTAAAATCTCTATCCTTGGATAATTTTTCTTCCAATTCGTGAGTGAAATGCCGTTACCGCACTTGTTTTATAATATACTATAATACAAATCCTTGTAAAAACTCAGTTTCAAAAATTAAGAATGCAAATGCGCCCTCTGGTGGTCATTTCAGAAACTATAATAATTTTCAGTTGTTCCTCTCGAACGATTTACCTTTTTTTTCTAATTTCTAGGACCACAATTTTCCGTAATATCGTACCTGATGATCCTTATAATAACAATACTTCACAGGTCTACAGTGATTCTGATATTTGAAAGTTATTTTACTATTTCTTTTTCGTATAAAATCTTGGCTTGATGAAGCAGTTGATGAAGCCCTTGGCAGCGTTTCAAATAGTTGTGCCATAAATTTCCAGCCACATCTGATGCTAAGATAAAAGAAGTTATTCCTGTTGGACCGCACATAAGAACATTATGCAAAGACAAAGATTTTCAAAACACAATGGACAATGTTGGGTTTCATTTAAAGAAGTAATTGATAAGTTTCTTCGGCTCTAAGGACGAAAACTACGAAAGTATTGCTCAAAATAGGTTACAACACTTTCATCGTCTAGGTGGTAATATGAGTTTGAAACTGCATTTCCTATTTTCACACTTGAACAATTTTCCTGAAAATCTTGAACAGGAACAGCAGAACAGGAAGAGACACACCATGACATTAAGGAAATGGAACGGCGATACCAAGGTAGATGGAGCATAACGATGTTGACGGACTATTGCTGGTGGTTAAAACGGTATATGTGCCTACAAGTTGCACAGTTTGAAACAGTATTTTTGAAAGAAAAAACAGATTTTCAGTTACAACTTCGCAATAGGGTTAATTTTTTGAGTGCTGGCGGGCAACGTATTTTGTTTTGGGTGAAGTATAAACAAAAAGGAGATACGTTCATATCAGGCAAACACTTCAATGTTTTCAAGTGTTTCAGAAATCGCCACGCCCAAAAGATTAAAAACGTAAGGACCGTATGAAAGATGCTTTCCTCATATGCACTCAGTAAGTAAAAATTTTGGTAGGACCAAAAATATTGCTGTTTGTTTTTGAGTTTTCGTTTATTTACTGACATTCACTTCATTACACAGCTTTCTCGCAAAAAGACGAAGATTTCACTCAAAAAAGTCCGAGTTAAGTTTTTTTTTCACTTTTTTTTTAGTTGGGATTCCAATAATTTTTTAAATAGAGGATTACAACAAGTTGTAAAAAAATCTTAAAAATAATTAAGAAATATATATTTTGCATGAGTAACTTACTTTTTAGAGTACTTCCTTCCGGTGTGCAAGGTCCTTTGTTTAACAAACAATTAAGGTAATTCGTTGTCGGTCTTTCACTTGCAAGAATGGCGTCAACATCCACGTTGTCATACTTTGAAGAATACGTTTCGTCTCTCCTTACCCTTTCGCTGTGTTCTTCTGTTGCACGAACTACCATTCTATCATTTGTAATCACTAGGAAAATTGTGATGACCATAGGCACCATCACATCATACATTGCATATACAAATAACATACAGAACCGATTCCAAGCTTGACCGTAAATAAAAACCAATCTTATATGATGGGACTATGGTAATGGACTTTAACATTAATTTTTTTTGCGATTGATATAGATCGACAATTAACATTAATAATAATTATTATTTATAATTGTTGGTAATTGTTATAATTGAGCGTTTTCTATAACATAACATGCGCACTAATTAATTTTATATTTTTTTAAGGATGCCATTTATGAGGGAAAAAGTTTGCATTTATACCTGAGATACTGTTGACTTAATTAAGAATAAAATATGTATCAAAACAGGTAATTACGAAGAAACTGATGCATGCGCCGGACTGGAAATTCATTGAACCCAAATTGTCCGCCAGGAATATCACATATACGATTAAAAATTCGTTGCAATTGGTCTCAATGTATTTGACTATTTTTTTCTATTTTATTAATTATAGCGTGTTGTAGTTGCATTGGTCTCTATGTATTGTTGCATTTCTGAAAGTGTTTACGTTATTAATATTTGAATTTTGCTGTTAGTGTTACTGATATACAAATAAAGATTTTCATTGATGGTACTCAAAGGAAAGGCCTTTTATTTATGAAGAATGTCAGGAGAATTATTAAAAAATTTTGACATCTGGTAGATGATATTTAGACATTTCATTTGGGAGCATGGATAATCTCCTCATTCATTGGTCCAGAAAATTAACATATGTGCACGCACGTGCACCCATATACACAATTTCTCGTATTTCCTGTGCTTATTTCTCTGTGCAAAAATATGAAAATCCTTGGGAAACAAAACAAAATAGACTCGATCAAAAGAAGAGAGACTCCTCCCAAGTACCTTTTACACCTGTACGTCTCTGCGTCACTCAGGTAGATCAGTAAGGAGTTGTTTAAATAGCATTTTAATTAATGGTATACTTCGACCAGAAATATATTGCTTTTACAACCGACCCCGTGATTAACTTTGCCTAGTGTTTATGACTACGAAACCACAACCCCTCATAGAACATTCTTATCAGTAATCACTCCGAGGAATTTATCTATCTACGCTAACATGCGGGATATAAGCATGTTTTCAATCTTCTTCATGTATATACAGAAATTAGTACAAAGTAACAATTTATTACGTTCTGTATCATTACATTTCTACATAGTATCAATATTAATATATAAAATATTAAATTCAATAATAATAAAGTATCAGTCACCTAAAAAAAACGTCACTATTGTTACTGTCGTCACCTACGAGGTTAGCGCCAAAATTTAATGGCCTGACGCAGATGCAACTCCAGTATCACGATAAAACTTTGTCTTCTTTGAAATATATGTCTTAGTAGGCTGCGAAAAAAAATGGAAGTCTTGGGTCAAATAGTTTTTTATTGACAGCAGTTTAAACAAGACGTGTCCGAAAAAATGTCGCAAATAACGCAAATTGAGTATAGAGCGGTCATAAAGTTTTTGACAAAAGAAGGGCTCCCACCTAAAATTATTAAAGAAAGACTGGATGGTATGTACGACCAAAGTTCTCCTTCGTATTCTGCAGTGAAAGAATGGGCAAAACGTTTTCGAATGGGCAGGAGTCCCTTGAAGATGATTCAAGAACTGGTCGACCAGTGGAGGTCATAACGGAAGATATTGTTGCGATTGTGGAAGAGGTTGTATTGAGTGATCGACGTTTAAGGGTCAAGGAAATCTCAGAAATTACTAAGCTTTGTGATACAAGTGGTGAAGCACCTCCAAGAAAATTCAGAGTCTGACAGTCAACAAAAAAGGCGATGGCCACGATCTGTTGGGATTGTAAAGGAATTCTTTTGATAGATTTTAAAGAAACTAATACCACTGTCCATGGTAAATATTACTCAACATTATTACATAAATTGCTAGACTGCATACCTGTAAAACGTCGAGGAAAACTGACCAGAGGCGTGCGTCTTTTGCACGATAATGCACCTGTGCGTACTGCTGGTGTTGCACAAGCTGCCATTTTAGAGTGTGGGTTCCAACAAATAGATCATCCTCCCTATAGTCCAGATATGGCCCCCAGCGACTATTATTTGTTTGGATATTTGAAAAATGACTTACGTGGACGACGGTTTAACGACGAAGTTCAGTTAAAAGAGTCGTGTCAAAATATAATGAATTTTTGACCGTCTCTCTCCGAGCAACTCCGAAAAATATCGAACTTTACTTAAATGATTAATCGGAAGCGATATCCGGTCCCCTAAAAAAAGTCCACGAAAAAAGTCGCTTTCCAATAAACAAAAAAAAAACAAAGAGGCGCGACCTCGCAGCCTGTAAAAGTCTTCACGTCTTTCGTGTATGACTATCGCGACCCATGTGCATTCTTAGTCAGTGGCACGATACGGTATGTTGCTCATACTTTCCGTTCTCGGGCTAGTAGTGTTCGATTTGATCGATGCCGCCGGGCCGGCTAAGAAGTATTACTCCAGCAAATATGAGCATATCGACGTGGAAGCTATACTGAACAATCGACGGATGGTCAAGTACTATTCGGCCTGTTTGTTATCGAAAGGACCTTGTCCACCGGAAGGAGTCGATTTGAAACGTGAGTCAGTTTGTTTACTCGTTTACCGGCAGCAAAACACGAAATAAGGTCGACCAGGTTGACGTTGGAATTCCTTTAGCGTTCAGTACTCTGTATTGGTATGGTCTGTTCATAGATATAAGAAACTGACCAATTTCTTTTGAATGGGACTATCCAAGGGTGGTCATTACCATACAATGCAACAAGATCATTACCTAAAGTTTCGGAACTTAAATTCAGGTAAAATTTTGGTCCGAAATAGAAAATAATTTTATACCTACCTGTGTTTAATATACTTTGGTTTAGTATACTGCTTAGTTTAAGTTTATTAGTAATCATTCTTATTTCGTTTGTTGAATCGTGAGCGAATTGTGCAAAATATGTGCGAGTCAAGTGTATCTCAGGAGATGCTCCCGCCCAAATGTAGAAAACACTGTTCTATTGAGATTAAGGAAGTTACAAACAATGTTTATTTGACTCTCATTGAACGTGGTGCCAGCAAGCAAGCATCTTTAGAAGAAACGGCCACATTGACGAAAATTCCAACATGATAGCGATAGTGATACTGATATATTGTGTGAATAATTTTAACTAATTTAAGTAGGTAATAAGTAAGTAATAGGTAATTGCAATTTAAAATTATATTTTTTCAAATATCTCGTGCCCCCTTTATTATAGACGAAACCTTAAACTCTCTCTCGACACATCTTTAAAAGTTTTTCATTTATCGCCAACAATTCACTCACAAAAGCGGAAATTTCTAGGATTTATAAGAATTTTTTGCCAACAAACGACGTACCCTGTATATAATTCCAACAATGTTCACAATTGTGGATACAGCTCTGGATCTCCTTAGTTTCCTAGTATACGAATTTTTTTTAATGGAGTAAATAGTTTTCAAAAAACTACTTGTTTTCTGAAACGATGCAGAACGTAGTAATAGTCAATGACGTCACGGGTCCAGACTTCTACTTCTCTCCCAAGTCTGAAGTCGGTAGCTGCAAATTTGGGGCACATCTAAACCACAGATTTTAAATTATTTTTCCAGTTTTTTTTTTAATTTGCGGCGCACCCTGTATATTTTTGAAAAATTGTCAAGAATAAAAGTTTATGAAGCCATATCCTCTGCGTCTTCTGGTTTAAGAATTTTTTTGGACTTGTAAACGGTTTTTGAAAAATGGTCTTTTTTGTAGCCCCTTGCACACGCGATTTTTAATTTTTTTAAATTACTTCCCGACCCCCAGCTTCCCCCCCCCCCCATTTTCAATCGGTTGTGTGCCAAATATGAAGTCGATTGCTTCAAATTTCGGACACTTATCGTGTTTCATAGCAATGTTCAAAAAGCAGTGGAAAATCGCGAAAAAAAGATGGATATCGGCGTCGGATCGAGGCCACTTCTTACAAGTTTATGTATCTCGTGGAGGTTTAAAAAGGAGGCTAATTTCAATTTTGTAGCTCCAACAAAAGTTATTCAGGAAAAACCAAAAGGCGAGAACGGATAACAGAAAAAAAAGTTTTTTTTTCGACGCTGGTCATTTTGATACAACTTGGCAAGTATTTAAAATTATATTTTACGTTCTTAAGTTGTCAGTAGTGACTAGCCTTCGACCAAAGACTGCGAGCTCGAATACAAGTTCTTTTTTCTTTAGTACTAACAATTTGATGCCTGAAATTAACGAAAGTGTCCATGGTGTTTCAATTGGAGAACTTAATTTTTTTTTAATGCGAGAGTGTAACAAAATATATACAGGGTGTGGTGTTTATGGACAGAAAATCTAAAAAATCCTAAAAATTTCCATTTTTGTGGGTAAATTAAGGGCTGTAAATGAAAAACGTAAAAAGATAAGATAATTTGGTTTAAGCAGTTTTGTAAACTGTGTTATGACTTACAGCTCTTTTCAATTATACAGGGTGCGCGAGATATGTCACTAAAAATATTATTGGCGTTTTTGTAAGTAAACATGCTCCTTCAGTGGCGTTATGCCTTGCTATAAACCCCTTTACTTGATCCGATTCCAAGGGGTCCAATTCACAATGAAGCGTTTCGTCAATAACAAATTTTGTCAGTACCTTTGCCTGTTAAAAGTTTAAAAATTCATTTCCTTCAAAGTCTTTTGCAATTTCTTTTTATCCATCGGCGATCGAAGTCATCCTTTTTCATAGGTAGCTACATATTTATTTTTTTGATTTGAAATAAGTTCTTTCTTATTCTTCTTTTTCTCATTTATTACAGTTTCTATATATCCCAAAGCGAAAAACAAAAAGTACTTACAAGTACTTTGAAACGAACTTGTTTTTCATTAATGGTTTGTAGAGCCTGTAAATAAATAAGAACTAAAAGTTCAGATTTCCACGAAATTATGTATACCTATTCACATGACAATTATTTCGACAACACCCTATCTTTGCCAAATGTAATATTTACAAACTACCTGTTACTATATATACCGAAAAATGACCATAAAACCCTAATTAATGTTGTTTTGAGAATTTAAGTTTATGGAGAGTACCTGCTACTATATATACTGAAAAATTACAAAAAACCTTAATTATTGTTGTTGTGACAATTTAAGTTTAATAATGGAGAGGTATTTAAATCTAATTGATCGCTAAGCAATACAATTTTGTTAATCTTCATGGCTTCTATTAAATTTAATTTTCTACTTTTTGTGTGTGTAACTAACCAAAACTACCTGCTACTGTATATACCGAAAAATAACCATAAAACCTTAACTAATGTTGTGAGAATTTAAGTCCAATAAAGGAGACGTATTTAAATCTAATTGATGGTTAAGCAATACATTTGAATGTCTCATTTTGTTAATCTCCATGGCTTCCAATAAATTTAATGTTCTACATTTTGTAGCTTTCAGAACTAATTTTAAAAAACTAGAAAACGGAGTGTCCATTTCAAAACTCAGGTATCTACAGATGTGTGTCTTGAAATGCGGATCATGTCCTAAAATTTATAATGGACAAACAGGTAGATCCTTCAAGAAACGCATTAACGAATATAAAAGAGCGTTTAAAAACAATAGTCTAGATTCTAATTATGCTATAAACTTAAACACAGAAAAACACATTTTTGACGATAATTTTGATATTTTACATACAGCCACAAAATGTAGAACATTAAATTTATTGGAAGCCATGGAGATTAACAAAATGAGACATTCAAATGTATTGCTTAACCATCAATTAGATTTAAATACGTCTCCTCTATTGAAGTTAAATTCTCACAACATTAGTTAAGGTTTTATGGTTATTTTTCGGTATATACAGTAGCAGGTAGTTTTGGTTAGTTTAGGTAGTTTGTAAATACTACATTTGATAAACAATTCTTATAATACAGGATGTTGGAAATAACGTTTGCGCCCCGCTTAGGGCTGTACATTGATATAAAATCTCTGATTACGGTTTGATTTTGATAACTGTTTTTCATTTGATACATCCCTCAAAATCGCACTAAAAACCTTATGTTTCTTATTACATCAACCTGAAGTCATGGCTAACTGGGACTAATTTTTGATGTCAAATATCGAGAAACTGTTAACGAATTCTTATTCAACTACTACTACATAAAACCTAACAATACTAATTTCCATGAAGTTCGAATGCAGGGTACTCGAAATATCCCGAGCACCCCACTTAAGCATTACTCTTGTAGAATGTTTGTTTATGGCTCAATTTTGATAATTATTGGGTTGTTCGGAAAGTCATTTCGTTTTTTTTGGGGAACATGAAAGACAGTTTTCGTATAATGAATAAATATTTTATTAAATTATATATTGGCCATTCTGGTCCAACACCTTTTGCCATCTTTCTGGCAGTAACATAATTCCCCTCTCATAAAAGTTTTGGTCCTTGCTGGCAAAAAACTGGTTCAGGTGGTTTTTGACATCTTCATTTGAGGTAAAGGTTTTGCCATCCAAAAAATTTTGCGGGGACCGGAACAAATAGTAGTCGGAAGGCGCCAGATCTGGAGAATATGGTGGATGTTGCAGTACGTCCCATTCAAGCTGTAAAAGTTTTTGGCGAGTGACCAAACTTGTGTGAGGTCTCGCATTATCCTGGTGGAACACTACACCCTTCCTGTTGATTAATTCGGGCCTCTTCTCTTTAAGTGAATCATTCAATTTGTCCAGTTGATGACAATAGATTTCTGAATTAATCGTTGTATTGTCCTTCAAAAGCTCAAAAAAAACGATTCCTTTGACATCCCACCAAACGGAGAGCATTACCTTTTTTTGGTGAATGTTGGCTTTTGACACGCTTTGAGCCGGTTCATCTTTTCTGCTCCATGACCTCTTGCGTTTAACATTGTTGTATACAACCCATTTTTCATCCCCAGTAATAATCCACTTCAAAAATGGATCATTTTCTTGACGTTTGAGGAGCGAATCACACACGTCAACGCGACGACACAAATTTCGCTCCGTAAGGACATGGGGCACCCACACATCGAGCTTCGAGGTTAAGCCCATGCCTTTCAAATGGTCATAAACAGTCGAATTCGACAAATTTAATTTCTCACCGATCTCTCGTGTGGTTATTCGCCGATTTGCATCAACTAATGCCTTTATCGCATCTTTGTCAGCTTCGACCGGCCTTCCAGACCGTGGTGCATCTTCGACATCAAAATTGCCGGATCGAAATTTTGCAAACCAGTTCTGGCACTGGCGTACTGTTAACACGCCTTCTCCATACACATCCGTCAATTTTTTTCTCGCTTGGACAGCATTTTTACCTTTTCTGAAGTAAAAAAGTAAAATATGACGAAAATGCTGCTTATTGCTCTCCATATTTAAAAGGGCACCAACCAAAAACTACTGCGTAGAATTAATAGAACTTTTTCACACAATATCAGCTCTCAAGACATGTAATGGTTATGCGGCTTAAGTGTGAAGTTGGTTTCGAAAAAACGTAATTAAGTCCTCTGATGGGAAAAAACGAAATGACTTTCCGAACAACCTTATATTTTTTGATGGATAGATTTCAGATCATTTCATTTCATTCAATTC